TTAAAAAAGAAGGGGGGATTGCTAAGAGTTGGGTACATGAGTTTCGGTCCCACCTCCGGCTCCTGATTCCATCTTCCTGTTAATGCAGGAGGGAGTAGGTGCTGGATTGAGCTCCCAATTCCTGGCTTTGGCCTAGCCCAGCCTTGGCCATTGTGTGCATTTGGGGAGTCAACCAGCAGATGGGGAATCTCCCTCTCATAAATAAAAAAAATTTTTAAAGGCATACTAAGCATTCTGTCTGGAAATCTAGAAATTTCCATACTAAAATCCTTGAGTTCGTTGGGTATATTTTCAATTTCCTATGTTACTACAGGTGATAATGTTGTCAGACCTTCTGCCACATCAAGTTGCCTTTTCTCCAGCTTCCAATGACAATTTCCTTTAAAAGAAAAAGATATATTTATTTTATTTATTTGAAAAGCAGAGTTAGAGAGCAGGAGACTAAAAGAGACAGATCTCCCATCTGCTGGTTCACTCCCCAAATGGCCACATCAGCCAGGCAGGGCCAAGCTGAAGTCAGGAACCAGGAGCTTCATCCGGATCTCCCACATGGGTGCAGGGTCCCAAGAACATAGGTTATCTCCCACTGCTTTCCCAGGCACGTTAGCAAGAAGCCAAATTAGAAGTGGAGCACCTAGGACTCAAACCGATGCCCCTATGGGATGCCAGTATCATGGGCAGTGGTTTCACCCACTTTGCCACAGCACTGGTCCCTACATTGATCTTTACTCATCTCCATCAAGACCAGCCTCTGAGTAGAAGTAGACAGTGGTCAATATAATGAATCTGAGTACTCTGCTCAACAATATATGTGGCAAAGATAATACACCCCATGGACATTTTCTGGGCTTAAGATCCTCCTTGAGACACTCAGGAATGATCACTTTTTCATTCAGTGAGTATGTACGGAGTGCTTGCTTCTCAGCAGGAAATTTTCAATAGGGGAGTGACAGCAGCAAACATGACGACCAAGTCCCTGCTGTCATGCTGCTTCTATTCCAATGAGGAAGACAGGTAGAATCAGGAATCAAATGACATCAATGAGATAATTTCAGATAATGATAATTGCCATCAAAAAAAAAAAAATGAGTGGTGGTGGGTAGAGCAAGGCGGCTGCTCTATGTACAGTGATTAGGGGCTCTGAGGAAGTGACGTTTGCAGTGAAGTCTGAATGAAGAGAAGGAGTTCCCTGCAGGAAGATTCGGCAGGTTAGAGGAGAGCATTCAAACAAAGTTGATCAACAAGTGTCCTGCTGGGGCCAGAAAGCAACTAGCATTGCAAAGCCACCTGAGATGAAGGAGAAGTAGGGAAACAGAGATTGATACTTAATATAGTAGGGCCTTGTTTGTCAGGATTTCGCTGTGATGTAGCACATAAAGCCACCCCCACAACACCAGCATCCCACATGGCACTGGTTGAGTCCCAGTTGCTCCACTTCCAATCCAGTTCTGTGCTAATGGGCCTGGAAAAGCAGCGGAAAATGGTCCAATTGCTTGGGGCTCTGCACCCATGTGAGAGACCCAGAACAAGTTCCTAGCTCCTGGCTTCGGATTGGACCAACTCCAGCTGTTGCAGCCATTTGGTGAATGAACCAGTGGATGGAAGACCTCTGCCTCCCTCTCTCTGTAAACTCTACCTTTCAAATAAATAAATCTTAAAAAAAAATCTTATTTCAACAACAATGAGTTTGGAGGGGTTTTTAAAATTTATTTATTTGAAAGCATTACAGAGAGCGAGGGAGAGACAGAGAGAGAGAGGGAGATCTTCCATCTGCTGGCTCACTCCACAGATGGCCACAACTGGGCCAGAACAAAGGCAAGAGCCAGGAGCTCCATCTGGGTCTCCCACATGGATTCAGGGGCCCAAACACTTAGACCCGCTTCCACTGCCTTTCCCAGGCCATCTGTGGAGTGAGCCAGAACACAAACCAGCACCCATGCAGGTCACAGCTTTACCAGCTACACCACAACATCAGCTGCCAAGATTAACGGACTAGCCATTCACACTTTCTCATAAATTATGTTAACCTTGTCCTTCTCCCACAATTCTATATTAATTGGAATTAATTAATAGGTGAAAGAGTAGGAAATATGGTAAAATAATTTTGGAATTAGAGAACTTCCACAGAAATCATACCTGGCTAGTGATTGGCTCTGACTTGCAAGAAGATAACAGGCATAAGTCTACACAAATCACCACCAGGGTAGCAATTTTTCTACATTAAAGCTATTCAGTAGTGAAAAAAAAAACAGTAGGGTTTCTTTTTCTTTTATCTTTCTCTTTCCTCTATTATTTTCAGATACTTCTGCAGACTATCAAGAATTGGGAGTAGTAGGATCCATTGTGTGTATTTATGCATATTTGTGTATGTTATGGCTTATCCTGAATTCCAGACAATGTCAATGTCAGCTACTCACCAGATAATGTCTATTGTGTGTCCTGGAAGTCAGCAATACCATATGTAGCTTTTAACATCAACATCAATGACTTCTTAAATATTCAAAATGTTTAAAATCTTCACATTTTAAAATAAAGGTATCTTTTCCCTTCTTTCTATAATTTTATGTATGATATTAATATTCGCTATATAACTACATGTAGCTAACTCAGAATTTTAAATATAACAGTTACTTTGCAATATAAATGCCTTACACTACTATAAAGAAAATTTGGGGGATTAATAAAAAAGTTCATATAGAGCTAATGACTCGCTAATGGTTTTATTAAAATAATGTTTATAGTTAGAGTTCTAAAGTCAAATTCTTGTTTGTTTTTAACATCATTTTTCCTCAGTCAATAAATTATTGCTTATGAACTTCCTTCCACTGCTCTCCTCCCATCTCCCAGTAAGAATTTGTTTAGATTTCCACACAGAGACTGTTTCTACACAGTGATTAGAGTACATTGTTACCTTGTCATGTGAGTAACATTTGTTGACAGCATAGTTACTAAAAAAAAATTGCTGAAAAAATTATATTCTGATATATAAAGATTCTATACTTTGAAAAGATGGTGGATCATTGCTTAATAAGCTAATTGCTCATACCTGGCTTTGTCTGTTAGTTTAGTTGCCTGGTCAAAAAAAATGTATAGCCATGTAGGCTATGTTCTTAGTTGATCACAATAGCTGTTTCTAAAGTGATGTATGTGCAGTGTGCTTTGGCATATGATGGGTGTAAGAGATTTTGAAATTCCTGGCAAAGTATCAGTGAAATGCTGAAACCACTCACATTTGGCCTGTTTAATTAAATTATAACCTTCTTATAAATAGACCATGAAATATTTTAAATTCAAAATATTCTTCTCTGAGATTGGGTGGAAAAAACTTATAGTAATGGTGCCCTAAAACCACTCATACGAACTTGTAAGAGTCAGTTGTTATATTTTTAGGAAGTTTGTGAGCCTCTGAATACAAATCAAATTATATACACTTGCTTAAGTAAATTATGTTAAAAACAAGGGAACAAAGGTAATAGACACCTAAAACCCATGACCTCTTTAATCACTTGACTACATTTCGCCATCATGTTCGTGAGGTTGTTTACATCGACTGCATATATGGTGGAAGCACCACCCACCAGCATGGTTTCCGTGCAGAGCTTCCCAACTCCACCTGCGACAGGTGTTCATGAGGCAGGTACTTACATAGTGTTGAAGCTCAAAGAGGTGTGGATTTTAAGAAAATAATTTATATGAAGGTGAAAATAGTTTAATGGTGGATCACATAAAAGATGTAATGACAAAAGGCTTACTAGGAAAAGTGCAGATCAAGAGGCAACTGAATGCATGATTTTGTCCAATTTGTGGCTGAATTACTGGCTGCTGATCCAAGAGTCTGGCCCAAACTGACAAAAGCATTCTGAGTATCAACAGACTATATAGAACTTGCCATAAAGAGTGTTGAATATTATTCCTAGACTGTGTGCTACACATCCTTTATATCAATAAAATTGATAAAATTTATATTCACTATTGTAGCTGCATAGTTTCACCCCCTGGAGAGTCCCTTGTTAAATGTTAACCAGACACCACCAATTTTGCAGGAAAGATGAAATTCAATAGGCAACTTTCTCAGAAAGTCCAAATGGAACCAAATGAGTCTTTTTGTGAACATAATCTGTTAAAATTAGTGTGCTCACATGCTGATAGCAATTTGGCTTAACCATTTTGAAAAAGAGTATTATTTCCAATTTTAACTGGAAACTCCTCCAGTTTCAAAGAGAACTAGAATTTCAACCAAATGATATATAGACACTCTTGCTCAGCCTTTAGGATGGTGCCTGTGGCATAGGGATTAGAGAACATTGTTTATTTGTACTTATGACTTATAAACACATGCTTTTTAAATCAAATTATTGGATGCAATCTAATTTGTCTTAGTATTTTCACCACTGAACTCCCTGAAGGTGCACATGACCACCCAGGCAAGCCTAAGATCTTCTTGCTTCATGAACAACCCAGCCTGCTCAGAGAGTTTGTTCACTGTCTCCTCTGCAGGGAGCCAAAAGCCCAACCCATCAGACCAAGAAAACGCCCTCTAGGCCACCCAGCCCAAAGAAGTTGCCAAACAACATTGTTTTGAAACAGATATTACATGTTTCAACAAAAACCCTGTGCCAACCTGCACCAAGTGATCTCTCTGCCCAGTATGCTAAATAGGATATACTGGTCCCTGGTGTCCTATTGTGGGAAGTTTTATAGACTCTCAATCTAGCATGATTTATATACAGAAATAGTCACTCAGACAAACTTGGCCTTTGTCTCCTCCGATCTCTTATTAGTGAAAAATCCTCTCAAATGGTTTCCGTGGAGAAATGAAGACACCCATGAGATCCAATCAAGACCTAAACATTATTTCATTGTAGACGTTGCTATTTGTTTCGTTCAGTTCTTGAAATGTCTGCGGAAGCAATCTAGATCCGAAGCATGTGTGCATTTTAAGACCTGCCAAGGGTCATCTGGGTCCATTATATAACTGCCACTTTTTGTTTCTATTCAAGGTGTCATAAAACTGAGTTCTGCAGTTGAAGGTACGTTTTTACAACCGCAAAATCGATTCTGTTTTGCTTCAAGGTTGTACAGCGTGGCTTGTAGCTAGCAAGCTTCTGTGGCGCTGGTGTTTGACGCCGTGTCCCAGTGGCCAGCGTGGCTGTTCCATCTGTGTCTCTGCTCGTCCTGGTCCTGTGAGGCCCACGTCTCTCAGGCCCCCCACAAGCGGCATCCACACTGCCCTGAGCGGGTGGTGGTGTGGGGGGCCAGTATGTCTGGTCTCATTCCTTCATGCGATCACCTCAGATCCAGCGCCCCCGAGAGAGCCTCTGGCTCTCCAGCACCCCTGGCGGAGGTTCGGCTTTGAGTCTCGTTAGGGAACTTTGCCTTGTGTCCCTACGCAGGGCCTTTGTCCTTTACCCCCACCCAGCAGATGAGTTGGCCCCTGGAGTGTGTGGGCATGGAGGGTCGCGAGGGCTCCCCGATGAGAGCCCTGGCTGAGACACTCGCCAGTCTCCCGGGAGGTTCTCACCGGCAGCGTGATCCACCGCCGTGTGGTGACATGAGACCAACTTCCTTGAGTGTCACCCTCGTCAGCAAAAGATGGTGCCCTTTAGTTACACAATCAAGGAGCTGAAAAGACAAGGCAGAGGGATTCCAAGGAAACATGAAAACACACGACAGAGTGTTTTGCTGAGTAACCCCCCGGAATGTTTCTTAAAATGCCTCATTATCTGAACTGATTCACTGGCTGTTGGCATCAAAGTGATCTCCTGACCCTCACAGCAGCTTTACAGTCCAAAAGTGGAGAATGTCTGATGTTCTCTACTGCGTTTCTGTGCTTGTTTGGGCGCATGTGTGTGTGTGTGTGTGTTCTCGCTTACTGGGAGTTTGTCGGTCATGCTTCCGAGGCTTCTTCATCCTCACTTAATCAGGGGAGGCTGCCTGGAAGAGGTGTTGGGCTTTAAGGTGAGTTTTCTGACCTACAGAGGGATATGGCTTGATGAATGGGTAATGATGCATGGAGGTGGGAAGAGGGAAAAACACAGGGTTGGGGAGGTGGAGTGATGAGGCCCTCAGCCTGACTCAAGCAAAGGGATTCAGTGGGCTGAGGTTTGAAGCTTGGGAGATGAGAGAAGAGCTCAGAAATGTACCCATGGAACAGGCAAATCCAGGCTTGCAGGGCAGAGTGGGGAGGAAGTCACTCTCCCTTTGGGGATTTAGACCTGTCAACTTTTACAAAACTGAGTTGAGAAGGCAATATTCCTGGCAAGCAAGCGAAAGATGCAGGCAGTGGCGTTTCAGGGAAGGCAGAGAAGCACAACCATGTCACCTCAAGCAGAGCGTGCTTCAGGCTGCTGCCAGGCCAGGCAGCAACTCAGGTTCCCTCCTCCCATATGAACAGGATTTCAGGAGAGACTGTCCCCAGCTCTCCTTGCCTAGCAAATATGAACGATGCAGAAGCAAAATCGAGCAGGACCGTGAGAATGATGCTGCCAGTGGCAGCAGGAGCCGGGTTTCAGTTAATTATCTGTAGAATTACAGATAACAGTTGGTCCACCTTGGGCTGTTTCGATGTATTATCAAGGAATGGCTTTGAAGTCATACCTTTACATCGCCTGCTTGGCTTAAACACAGGATTCCATATGCAACAAGAGGCTGTAGAAACAACGTAAAGATTGTTGTAGAAGCCAGAAAGCCAGGAGAACAATAGTTAATTTCAAAGGTTGTCCCACTAGGTTACTACTGGGTGGTGTGGCCCATCTGAACCCCTGAATAGAGTTCTGTTCTCTGGACAAAGATGAGAGTCTGAGGGGGACATGAAGGCAGGAGGCAGAATGACTGCCCAGGGCTCGTTCAGCAGCCTCTAGCTGGCTCCCTCATCACCAGGCTTCTGCTGTGACCATGGGGAACCAAAGGTCAAGGCCAACTCCAGCTGCTATGTGAGTGTCTTTTTGGCAGCTTAATGGCTGAAAGCTGTACCAGCTTGAAGGCACAGGAGCATGTTGTGTTGTAAACATGTAAGAATATGTGTGTGCAGGGGTGGGCTGGGGGTGCTGGGCGTATGGTGTTCAGTGCATGGATTCTCATTGCATCTAGCGTGGGAGACTCCTACAGCATGCTCAGTGCAATGTGTGTTGAACACGATCTCTTGATAAGAAATCGGACCTCAGATGCTGATCCTGTGACTGCTTAGCCAATTCCTGGATTTGCCATTTTCCACCAGTGGAATGAATTCAAGGCAGTTTCATACAGCTGATCATGTCAGTGGATGCACAGATCTGTGGAGGGATTGATTGCCACAAATAAGACATCTTCCCATTTCCTTAAAAATGACTGTTCCGGATTATTCTAGAACTCTGAAAATAGCATTAATACTTTAGGTAGGTTCTCCTTTTCTTTTTAACTGTCACAGTTCTAAGAGAAAAACCAACCGAGGTCCCGTATGCTGTTTCCTACCAAGTGTTTTTGCCACCCAGTTTTGTGCCTACTGTTTTCCTGAAGCACAGGTGCCTCCTTAAGCATTTTGCAACTTCGTGCCAGCTTTTAAACAGCAGAAAACCGGAGGCCCGCGCAGCAGCCTAACAGGTAAAGTCGCTGGCTGCGGCGCCAACATCCCATGAGTTCCTGTTTGAGTCCTGCTGCTCCACTTCGACATAGCTCCCTGCTAATGCCCCTGGGCAAACAGCAGAAGATGGCCCAAGTCCTTGGGCCCCTGCACCCACTTGGGAGACCCAGAAGAAGCTCTGGCTCCTGGCTTTGATCAGGGCAGCTCCAGCCGTTGCGGCCATCTGGGGAGTAAACCAGCAGATGGAAGACCTCTCTCTTTCTCTCTCTCTCTCTCTCTCTCTCTCTCTCTCTCTTTCTCTCTCTCTCTCTCCCCCTCTATTTCCATAACTCTGCCTTTCAAATAACTAAATAAATCTTTTTTAAAAAACCTTAGCAGAAAGAATTTTACATCCCAGTAACAGTGAAGTGAGAAGTAAATTGTCCTCTGTAATACTTAAAATTATACTTCAACAGAAACACATGTCAGTGATTTAGTTATTTCACAATAAAGAAAACTATTTGAACAAGAAAAGATAAAGAAATAATTGCAAAATTTTATCAATAACACATGAATTCTTGTCTCTAATTTTATTTATTTGTGTATTTATTTGGAAGAGAGTGCCAGAGAAAGAGAGAGCGAGAGATCTTCCATCTGCTCAGTCACTCCTCAAATAGCAGCAATGGCTAGGGCTGGGCCAGACTGAAGCCAGGAGCCAAGAATTCCATCCGGGTCTCTCACATGGGAGACAGGAGACGAAGCACTTGAACCATCTTCTCCTGCTTTCCCAGGCACATTAGCAGGGAGCTGGATTGGAAATAGAGCATCCAGGGCTCAAACTGGTGCTCTTACTTACAGTGCCGGGGTCCCAAACCTCAGCTCAACATGCTGCACCACAATGCAGGCCATTAGCTCCAACTGTAGATTGAGATCTCAAACTGAGGAAACAGTGTAAGACAGGTGCATCCAGACTATGGCAAGAGGAGAAAAATCACCTGTGTGAAAAATTCCAGAATAGAATCTTCTAAATCTCCCTTAAAAAAGGGATTTTCTCTCTTGAAATTGGAGCATGGGGAGTGGGATGAGAGGTGACACGTATTTTTACAAACAGGACAAGAGCAGGCCGGTGCCGCGGCTCACTAGGCTAATCCTCTGCCTTGCGGCGCCAGCACACCGGGTTCTAGTCCCGGTCGGGGCACCAGATTCTGTTCCGGTTGCCCCTCTTCCAGGCAAGCTCTCTGCTGTGGCCAGGGAGTGCAGTGGAGGATGGCCCAAGTGCCTGGGCCCTGCACCCCATGGGAGACCAGGATAAGTACCTGGCTCCTGCCATCGGATCAGCGCGGTGTGCCGGCCGCGGCGGCCATTGGAGGGTGAACCAACGGCAAAGGAAGACCTTTCTCTCTGTCTCTCTCTCTCTTACTGTCCACTCTGCCTGTAAAAAAATAAAATAAAATAAACAAACAGGACAAGAGCAGCATCCTTGCCATAAAAGAAATGAGAGGGGGCCGCCTGCAAAGCCAGCAACCCATATGGGCACCCGTTCAAGTCCCTGCGGTTCCACTTCTGCTCCAGCTTCCTGCTAATGCTCCAGGAAAAGCAGCAGAAGATGACCCAAGTACTTGGGCCCCTGCCATCCACGTGGGAGACTTAGACGGAGTTCCAAGCTCCTGGTTTCAGCCTGACCCAGCCCAAACCATTGTAGACATTTGGGGAACAAACCAGCAGATGGAAGATCTCTGTCTCTGTAACTTTGCCTTTCAAATAAATAAATAAATCTTTTTTAAAAAAGGAAGAAGAAGAAGAAATGAGAATGTAGGCCATATATGAGAGTGCTTTCAAAAGTTCAAGGAAAAGGGGCCAGTGCCGTGGCTCATTTGGCTAATCCTCCACCTGCAGCACTGGCACCTCTGGTTCTAGTCCCGGTTGGGGTGCCAGATTCTGTCCCAGTTGCTCCTCTTCCAGGCCAGCTCTCTGCTGTGGCCCGGAGTGCAGTGGAGGATGGCCCAAGTGCTTGGGCCCTGCACCCCATGGGAGCCCAGGAGGAAGCACCTGGCTCCTGGCTTCGGATCGGCGCAGCACGCCGGCCATAGTGACCATTTGGGAGGTGAACCAATGGAAAAAGGAAGACCTTTCTCTCTGTCTCTCTCTCTCTCTCACTGTCTAACTCTGCCTGTCAAAAAATAAATAAATAAAAGTTCAAGGACAATGGAACTAAAAGATGTTTATTTAGGTGCAAAACAAATTGAAATCCATGCATACAAATGGACTTTGAAAAGTTCATGGAAAATGAGGACTACCGAAAAACTGCACATGGATTTCAAAAAAAAAAATTGGGCACCAAAATAAACATCTTCAAATTTTGTTTTTCCATCAATTTTTTTTAAGTCCTCTCCTATTTCCACAAGTAGCATCAGAACACGGGCTTGTCAAGGAGAAATGAGAACACAGGAGGAGCTGAGTCATGGCTGCATCAGCTCTGCGCTGATACCCTCG